AGGGTTTGGAACCCGGGTCTCCCAAAAGAGTATGATAACTACTAGGCTACAGAATCACTCATTCTCTCTCTCTCTGGCCCAAAGGCTATTTAAGTATTTTATACAAAATGACCTGGCTTAAACACCTAATTCCCTTTGAGTGGTGCGGATTTATGCCTTACCCTTCTCCACGACATTTCCTTCTGGCTGGTTTAGGCAGCTACACACTCAGCTGGCTGGCTTCTGTGAATCACTTGCTTAGCTACCTAACTACCCATGCATTATATGGGGAACCTGGGTACCTAACTCCGGGCTGTGAATTCCACTGAGTGGCAGCATGCCTGAAAGTTAGGCGTTGCACTACGTGTGTCCTCCTTGTGAACCTAGCCTCTGGTGCCTTATTTTCAAAGGACCCAAAGTTCCCGTTGAAGTCAACTAGAGCTGTGAATTCTCAGTACATCTGAAAGTCGGGCACTAGTGATCTAGATCTACAAAGGTATTTAGGCTCCATGGAGGTTAGGTCCTAAATACCTTTGAGGATCTGGGCCTACGTGTCTCAAATTGAGCACCCAAAAATTTCAGAACACAAAATTAGCCCAAATCTTATTTCTTGCTTCAAGTCTTTTTCCTAATTTTCTCTTGATTGTTAGCACAAAGTCATTAATTTATGAAAATTGCAATGGGCCTCCATTTAATGGCAGAGTGTAGCTCTATTCTAGAATCATTATTCATTCTGACTTTCACACAGGAAGTCATGGAATTAAACCTCATTTGAATAAAAAGCCTTCCAGATCATATAGTTTTTATCTGGCCTAAATAAATCTGCATGCCTGAAAGTAGTTGTCTGCTACCTTGCTCCCAAGACAACTTCTTAACTGCATTCCATGTCTTCCCTTTGGTCAGTGCATTCAGTCTTCCAATGGCATTAATTTTGCCAGCTAAATCTCATTACAATTTTTTAAAGTGTCATAATTCAGGGGATATGAAAAAGATTAGTTCAGCAGTGAGTCATCCAACTGTAAATAAAGAATAATATCTATCACAGAATCAAAGAGGAAGCAATTTTGTTGGGTGTAGAAGGCATGTAAATCGAAGAAGGACATTTTTAGTGCACTTCCGATGCACTGATTTCCCTGAGCAATGTACTCTTTAGCTTTACATTTAAAAAGTGTTATCTAAATTAGATAAAAATATTTATCTCAGCATTGTCAAGTTTCCCAGTTGCTAGTCTGGATATCAGTCAATGTCTTCTAGGGAGATTTTGTAGCTGTCAGCGTATTGCAGTCTGCTATGACAGTCAAAACATCATGATCCATAACTTGTTTTTCCTAAGGGTTGGGGCCTCTGAACTCGTCTTGGGCTTCCCATTTCACCCTATTTCTTCAAAGGGCTCAAGTAGAGAGCAGATGTTACATCCACAGGCAAGCTGATACGATAAGATATGAAGTCATACTCTCTCTAAATGGTCAGTTCTTTTGCAAGGTTGGCAATTATGAAAGCTATAAGTACCCGTACTTTTTGAAAACTGAAGACTCTTATTGGAATTAATTGTGAATGACCCACAGGACACTGATTGTAGAGCATGATATTGTCATACGATCAGACAGCGTGTTTGAAAATGTTTCAATCTATCTTCGTGCAGTTTCCATGAAATGCAGCCTCATGACTGATGCCTTTTTGCTCCACTGAGGGGTCCAATCAGTCTAGGGTAGGATCATAAGTTAGAAATGGACAGCACCTGTGCTTGGAAATCCATGTATGCAAGGCACTGTGTTCATGCCAAGGATTTTATGACTGAATCAGATCCACCTGCAAGAGGATGGCATAGTCCTCTGGGAGAGGATGTTGCTGATACTCAACTGATATTTTGGTTACGGTCAAGCAGAAGCACCTAGGATCAATGTTGAGTCTTGCACTCCTCTGATGGGGGAATATGGTAAGTTTGTTTATTTCAATATTCAGCGGTTTGCTTTTTGTACAAAATAAGAATCCCAGGAAGCTGAGAGAATTGCTTTTAAAAATTGAAAATCCACAGGCATCACTCCTGATCTAGTGAGCATTTTTAAAACATTAGTGAAAGTGTCCCTAACTCTCTTGACACATGTTGCAGAAGGCGATCCTTCTCAGTTATACCTGTTCTTGGGAAAAATTCATCAGACACTGACAAGGTGTAGGCATATTGGGGGGGGTGAGGAAGGGCCTGGCCAAGGCTTTCCTCTCCCTTGGCTATTCTGAGCCCTTGCAAAGACCAATAGGGACCACTGCAGCAAGGATACACCAATTTAGGGCAGCAATCAACTGTGCCAGAAGCATCACTGGCTCCTACAGTCTCTGATTGGATGAGGCACAAACTCCTTTCCCTCTCCCTACATCAGCGTAGGGATGTACGTGAACTAAAAGTAATTGGCTCTGAATCCAAATACACATAAGGGGATCTGATGTGTGAGAAGGTGCTATTTCACAACATGACTTTGCAGAGCAGAGCTGCACAGAAAGTACCAAAGTAATGTTATGCTGCTTCTCCTCTTCCTACCACAGAAGAAAGCCACATTACTCATGAGCCAGACAAATGCCTCCTACTAGTGCATGAAGGCTCAATTTATTCTTTTTATTTTTTTATTCTCTTGCTGAAACTTTACTAACAAACCACATGTAAAAGCTGCAGGTCCCTTATGGGTGAGAGTCAAACATTTACTTACACAGCTTTTGCAGTGATGGCAATTAAATTAAACATGAAGAGAACACTGCTGCTTGGAAGTTTTACAACCCGAAGGTGTAAATCACACCACATAACTAATTTATGACATTTCATGCCTTACAACTCCTCGCTGGTGCTTTGTAAAGATTAGGAGGGATCTGATTTCTATGTCCTTTTTGGGACAACAGAGTAGGAAGCTGATGTCTGTAGTCTTGGGTTGTGATCCCTGACCAAAGTCACAACTGAAACAGGATCAGGCTAGGTCAAGACTCAGAGGCAACAAAGGACGTAGCTGATTCACTTGGTGACACTCTGTGTCAGCATCAAAAGGAACCTGCTGAAATATTCCTATGAAAGGGGGTTTTCGGTTGTTGTTTTTTTGACAAAACTTGCCCGGTTTTGAGTTTGTGAAACAATGTAACAGCCAGATTTTCTGAAAATCTGAATTCGTCCAATTAAATTCTTCAGTGAAAAATTGTGGGAGGTTGTTTGTTTTGTAATGAGGATGACCCTGAAACTGTTGTTTTAAACATTAATCTTTTGAATCTCAGGCTGGCTTGGTTGGTTTTGAGTAGTTACATAATGCAAATGATATTGGTTCTGGCTCTTTAAGCAGAAGGATTATCCATTGGCTAGGCCGCTAGCCTGGGGTTCTGGAAACCTAGATTTAATACCCTGCTCTGCTACAGACTTCCTGTGCGGCCTTGGGCAAGACCCGTCTCTATGTGCCCCAGTTCCCCCTTTGTGAAATGGGTATAGCGTACATCCTCGCAGTGGTCTTGACAGGATAAATACATTCCAAAAGATAGTGAGATACTATCTCACAGTGAGATACACAGGGGCCATCTAAGTAGCTCAGAGTTTTGAGTCTGCTCAGCGTGTGGAAGACTTATTTAGGCTCCTTTTCTCAGAGGGCAGTATTAACCTAATAAACAAGAATAACAACTGTCCTGAGAAGGTGTCTCTCACATCCCAGGTGAGTGCCCTAATCACTAGGCCAGAAGGTTTTCAGCTGTGAAGGTTTGTGTGTGCATCTCTCTCTCTTTCTTTCTCTCTCTCTCTCTCTCTCATGAGAAGGGGGCTGACCTGGTTTACGCTCCCAACTCCAGGACTGGCTTCACAGCTATGAATGCCAAATGACGATAGGTGCCTAACTGCCTTTGAAGGGTTCCTACTGGCTAGCTTAGGCAGCTCCCCACTCAACTTGGTGGCTTCTGTGAATCTCTTTGTTAGGTGCCTGACTCTCTCCTGCATTGTATAGGGAGCCTGGGTGCCTAACTCAGGGCTGAGGAGTCCTCTAGGTGGCAGGGTGTAGCAGCACCTAAGTCCCTTTCTGGATTTAGCCCCTGGCCTCTCTGCCTCAGTTCCCCACCAGTAAAATGGGGATAGCAGCACCTCACCAGGGTGTTGTGAGGATAAATATATTAACAATCAGGACTTGCTCAGACACTGTGTTGATATGTATTTATAGGGTGCCGAAGATGGAGAAGGAACATCCTCTTCTGTCCCTTGAAGTTCCAAGGCATCTGATTCTAAGATTCCAGTCTTAGCCTAGCTCTAGTCGTAGCATCCTTTCCTTGGACATTTAACAATACTTTTATTGATAAGACATAGAAGTTATTTAGAAAAATAGTTTAGCTTCACATTTCCATGACGCTTTCTGCAAACAGTGTAATTTTTTACCCAAATGTTTTGTACCACAAAAAAGCATATTGTGGTGGCAGTTACAGTGGCAGTATCACATACTGTCTACTCTGGAAATAAAGTTATCCTGTTCTTGGCCATGGGAATTATATGCTTGCATTGGAAAAGAAACCTACCTCCTATTAGAGCAGTGGTTCTTAACCAGGGATCCGGGACCCTCGGGGGCCACGAGCAGGTTTCAGGGGGTCCATGAAGAAGGGCCAGTGTTTGACTCACTGGGGCCCAGGACAGAAACCCGAAGCCCCATCGCGTGAGGCTGAAGCCCAGGGCCCTGAGCAACTTAGCTTCACGGGGGCCCCTGTAGAATGGGGCCCCAGGCAATTGTCCTACTTGCTACCCACTAGCGCCGGCCTTGGCTTTTATACGTAGAGAACCAGTCATTGTGGCACGGGTGGGCCATGGAGTTTTTATAGCACGTTGGGGGAGGGGAGGCTCAGAAAGAAAACGTTTGAGAACCCTGTATTAGAGGACCTCTCCCCCAAGGTATTTTAGAGAAGGAAAGACATGACTCTTTGTTTTTAAAATAAATAACCCTTTTAGAAAAATGAATTTCAAAGCATTAGTTGCACTCTCAAGTAGAAGACAACTGGACACACAAAAAGCTGTAATAATCTTTTATTAAAATAGTATCATACATTAAGTTTTGTTAATTTGATATTTATATGTTCTATGCAAATAATGTAAAGACTATCCTACTTTTTATATCAGCCTTAAAAAAGTTGCATGTGCAAATTCAAGGGGAGAATAGACAAATTTAAAACAATCACATTTTGTTACATCAAATACACTATATACAAATAGCCCTTTTGTTCATTCCGCTTTTACATATATGGCCTGAGTATAATTATAACAATTGAGGCTGGGGGTTTTGAAAAGAGACTGATGGAGTCAGTACCCAAATCCCATTAATATGATGGCGGCACCTCATTCTCTTCAGCCCCTTTGACAATCTCAGCATAAAGGGAAATGTGATGTTTGAGTTTAGAATTTTGCAGTATTTACTAATTCCTCTGAATTCAAAAATACACCTTGTATTGAAGGGGGAATATAGCATGTTGAAATACATTATTTATTTACCAACTCCAATATTCTGTCAGCACTGTTGACTTTTTCTTTCCATTGGGCTCTCGATTAAGCCCTGTATGCATGATTTTAAATGTGAAATGTATAATAGAAAACGAATGCAGTGATCTTAAAGGCTCAGAAGTTAACCTATGGAACTTAAGACCCTGCTCCTGCAACAGGCTCTGAATAGGTAGATCTGTACAACTGTGCAAAGCCCCATCAACTTCAGCAGTGTAAAGGATTTCATGCAGATGCATGTCTCTGCTCACACAGAGCTCATTACAGGAGTGTGGCCTAACCTTGTTATAATGTGTCAGGGAATGGACTTTGGACTGTAAACTTTTAATGTTAGGAAACAGAGAAAATGATAGAGAGAACCAACTGATAGGTAAGCATTCCCTGCCTTCTGCTGACATTACTGTAAGTGTTCGTACTGAGACAAAGCGGTTTTGTTGGTTTGTGCCCTGCAAGAAAATCCAGTGTTTGCAAATAAATACCAGCAAATTTGCAGAGGGGCAAGAGATTAAAATATTTATCAGTGTCTCTTTGACTGTACAAGTCCCCAGCCTAACTTCAGTGGCCAAGTTTTGCCTGACTAAAGGCTAGGGTTACCACCTTTGAAATGCAAAAAAACCGGCACCACTCCCACCCCAGAAGACAATTCTGCACATCCTGCCCCCAGTAGCCACTTACAGTATCTAGTGAGAGAGCACATATAGATAAGATTGATAACATCATTTTCTTACTTAAGCTGCGGAAGTGGGAACACTGCAGCGTCTTTAGCTGGACACAGAAACTTTTAACATTAGACATCCGAGTGTAATGTGGTGATATTAATGCAAATCTTTAGACACATGTAAAAAAGGCAGATTAAATTATTTTTCTGGCACCTGGCAAATCCATAAAAAAAGGGCCAGGCTAGTCAAATACTGGCCAGGTGGTAAGCCTACTAAAGGCTGGTCCTGTAGCTTTTTTGTGTCACTTTGTTAGCTCAGCTATTTCATACATCTGGGCATTTTTCATCCATTGAGCTCTCCAGTGCATTCCAGTAGATCAGCAGGTCATGAGGTTTCACGTGATGGCATGTCACAATTTTCTTGAAGTGACAAAGAGAGAACACAACCCTGCTTGGGAAGAATGTCAGTTCTGAATGAAGTTCCTCCAGATTGATTTTTAGTTTAGCAAGACACAGTCCTATGAAAACATCCTCCAGTTTAATAAAAGGGATACTTTCTGAAATATTATAAACCTGACTAGCAACATCAGTGGAGAAAACATAACCAGTCCCTGAACAAAATGGAGGATACGTGCTTCCTGGATATTCATCTTTACTCACATACCATTTACTACATCTATTTCTTATTGGGAGCTCATTCGTCTTTAAAAAGCCTGTGAAGAATCTAGTACTTCTATTTTTTCTTAAAAGAAGTTCAGTCAGGTAAAAGATATTGACAAACATATCTGAGTCAGTTTTCATCACAAACCTGGATTGATGACAAAATTTGTGAACCCATTCAATTCCCATCATTGTCTTTAAAGTCAAATTGTAATATGTGTCTATAAAATCCTTCTGGATAATATCTCTGTAATTCTGACTTTCAGCAATAATACCAGTTTGATCATTTTGGTTCCTGGTGGTTCCCAGAAGAAAATATGTCACAATGCGGTTGCCAGCAACTAGTCTGTGTTTCCCCCATGTTTGACGGATAGCCATCCTAGCTTTATTTTGGCCATGTGACGATGTCACAAGGAGTACCAGGAACGGAGGAGTCCTACTGCAGTCTATATCTGGCAACTGCAAAAAGTTTCCACTCTCTATTATAAAAGTCAGTGACGTGGCCTCTTCCTCCTTTAAACAGAATATACCGTTTTTAATCAAATACAAACAAGTAGAGGTCAATAGTACAATTAAAAACAAAATCATTTTGAATCTCTTCAAAGCCATCTGAAAGAAACAAAAACAAATGGTAGATTAGAAAATAATCTTGCTCCTTTGTATACCAAACCCTGTGCTATTGCTTGGGGATTTAAGGGTATTCTCCCTTCTGTGGGACTCAGCAGAGCTTAGCCTGTCCCCCAACAAGATCAACACAGGAAGACCCACTCATGTCAAGGGCATCCATGCAGATACGCCAGACCCATCACAAGCTCTTTGCCTCCAACATGACATAGGAATATGACTATCAGAACTACACTGCCAGGAACTCTCCCACCAGCTAGTTCTCCAAGAATGCATCCCTAAAGAGAGAACTCTACAACATCGATTGTGGGAAGCAGGCAGGAGTTTTCCACAGCCCTGATGAGTCAGGATAGTAGTAATCTCTTTATACCTTATTTCTCCATTCATTTTTGACAGATGACCATGCCCTGAGTTCGCAGGCATGGGCCACTTAGAAGGCTAAACTAGACCAGTAGTCTCTCCTTATCTCCACCCCGCCATTTATAGTGGGAGCTGCATATCGATTCAGAAGTTGCTCCTATGCTTTCCTCCCTTTCTGGGGTCCCTAGGGAACAGAGTTCTTGGTGGCCATTTTGAAAAGGATCAGCAGATAAGTTGAATTGTGTTTTTCTCTGTGTTGGTTCAAATTATTAAAACACAAAAAAGGAGGACTTTGCATTTTACTCCCCTTTTTGGAGGAAAGATGTCATAAAAAAAAGTTAAACAGAATAATTCATGCTTGTAACAGAAGAATATTCTTTGGTGATCTCTTAATCACTCTTATCCACTCAGTGCAAATCTTAATAGATAGAACAAGCCAGAAGAGCCACAAAGTCTTAGTGATGATCAAATAAAACACTTCTACATTCATAGTTGAACTCCGAGTTTAACTCAATTATAATTGAATTATTTGCATATGTATAACAGGTGTGTCGCCAATATCCTTTGAAAATTGCAGTCACAAAATAAAATTTTAGAACAGCAGCGAGTTTTAGAACAAAGGGAAAAGAGGGCAGAGAGAAGAGTATATAGAGTTATTTCTTCTTATGACCTTAGATAGTGCCATTCTCTAGCAGTTATTCTCAGCTCAAACTAGAGGTTCTTTCCTAGAATGTGGGGAAGAGAAAAAAAATGGTATTAAAGAGACAGCTCTTTCTCTTTTTCCCCACGTACTCTTGATAGGGAAATTAGCTTGATCTTCTAAAATTAAAGTGTTGGGCTTCTACCCATGCAAGGAATTAAAAACATACATGGTGGCATATGTACAAAGGCAAGTTTACATACTTCAGAGGCGCGGGTTCCTTGGGAGCTTAATCCTCTGGCTAGGATTGTTCTGTGTAGAATGTCCAAAACCACTTCAATGTCCTTCTTTTACTCAAATTCAGATATGTACGCAGCAGAACTTAGTCTCTGTGAATAACATGAAAATATCTGGTCACTAACATAAGTGTCCTTAAAGTTCTGAATACCTGTTCTTGTAGCCAAATCCAACTCACTTTACTCACTAGAATGGTCCCATTAATTTCAAGGAGACTTCTCACATGCATAAGGCAAGCAAGATTCAGCTATTGCTTTATTATAGTTCATCTCCAGTCTGAGGCCTTCAGTGAACTATACATTGTTGAACTCAACTCCATTGTTACTAGATAAATAGATTTATCCTCACAACAATCCTTTAAGTATCATTAGCCCGATTATACAGACAGGGAACTGAGGCTCAGAGAGAGATAAAGGTTGTTATCCTGAAAGTTGTTCCCTGCAAATGGATCCAGGCACCTCTGTGGGGTCAGTCCAACTCAGTGGGACTCCATCAAGGTTCAGGGGTCTGCCCACACAGACCCAGTTGCAGATGTGTGGCCTAAATATCTAAAGCTGTGGGCACATAATATTTTCCGGCACTTTATAAAATTGTGGTTTACCCAAATTTCCACAGAAAAACTGGGGGAGAGCCAGAAAGAGAATCCCCCTTTGCTGAGTTTGCATCCAATGCCTTAACCACAAGAGCATCCTTCCTGCTTACAAGTGAACAGGGGGAATCTGGAAGTTAAAAAATACTTAATATTAAACTAGGCAGCTTCCAAAACCACCCTGTTTGGGCTCATCTTTAGTTCAGTATGCTAGAGTTCTGTTAGCCTTCCTCACTGACAGCCGAGCTGCTGCTACCTTTCAGTGCCATAAAGCAGATATTGAAATTCCTCAAACTTCCAGCTCCTCTCAATGTATAAATTTTCTGTCTTGCTCAATGTATGCACCAGTGGCATATAGCTCAGTTTGCTGCATGGGGTACATGGGAATCAGAAGGGTCACAGTGAAGTGAAAGATTGGTTATATGGTAGCATCCCTGCTCCATGCAGCCACAACTTGCTCCTTGTGCTATGGGCTATGGCTTGCCAGAAGGGGGAAGGCATCAAGGAACAGCCACTACATGTAAGAAAAACACTGCTACACATGTAACATGGTCCCCTAGGACTCCACTGTGAGTTACAGTACAACTTCTTTCACACAGTACAGCTGTAATTCTTTCACCATGGCTTCACATACCACAGACGTTTGCCTGTTCAGAGTGTGGGGAGCCAGCCATTGGGCCTTTGCAAGTAGAAATGGTTGAAAACATCAATTATTTTTTGCAGGAAATTTAGAAAAATCCTCTTTGTCTTCCCTAAATTTCCTGGTTGCGGGGGAGTGGGACAGTTTTTATTTAAAAGGTTAACACTATGAAGCCAAAAACCAAAATATTCCATTTTCAAAACACATTTTTGGCAAAATGTTTCAGTTTTCAGTAAAAATGTTTGGTTTTCAAAAAATTAAATTTTTTTACCAAAATATTTTCAGATTTGACCAAAATGGATTTTCATTTTGGACATAAAGCCATTTTCAACCTAAAAATAAACTTTGGCCAATTTTTTTCAGACGCGTCTACTTGCAGACCCTATTGTCATTGATCGGGGTGGGGAAGATGACCAATGGAAGATGTCCCCAGATGTGTACAGTGTGCACAGAATTTTCTCATGGATCTTTGGGTTCTGAATGATTGCCTGGCCATACCGCTGCTGTAGTGACACATTTGCAGAGACTGCCTATGCGAGCCTGTGCTGTCTAGGTTTAGCCTCTTCAAAACCATGAATTTGTATAGGTAAAACTTCCCAGTCCACAGCATTTTGCCCAGAAAATGGAGGACATAGGCCTTGTCCTTTCCGCCATGCACCTCCCTAAGAGTCCTTAATGGGCCTGTGTACCTGCACTATTGTGAATATTTTTGAAACATTAGCTGAGGCCCATGTGCCTATACAGAGTACTGAGCCATATCTTTCAACCTTACATCTATAACCCACACATCTCCTGGGTGTGGTGCTCTGTCCCCTCTAGTGGCACTGAGATCACTTAGAGATTAATGAGTCTACTACAGCCATATCTAAGGGCCTTGTGGCTTTTAGCTCATGCAGTAGATGCTCATGCACTAAGCTCCGGAGACCCCACATTCAATCCTGATCGCCAGCGCCTGGGGTCTGTCAGTGTTACATGTGTGCCACAGTTAAGTGTGGTTTCCTTCAAAGTCATAACAGGATATTTTCAATATTCACCATATTAAGACTGGTTTAGGAGAAATACTCCTGGCGGAATTCTGCACCACAGCATGTGTGCAGAATTCATGTCCCCCGCATATTTCTTTGCTTCCCTGAAGAAAACTGGCTTTCTGACAGGGAAGCAAAGGGAAGCTGCAAGAGCAGTCACGCACCACTCCCTAACTGTGCAGGTACATCGTTTCAGGCACCCGGAGCAGCCGGCAGAGAGGTAAATTATTGTGGGGCTGGAGACACCCCAGCCAGTGGCTTCTAATCTGAGCCAGGATCAGCTGCTAGTCTCATCTGGGCTGGCGGCAGGAGAGGGCAGGACTTCCTCTTTCCCTGCAAGGAGTGGCTGGGGCTGCGTCAAACCCACCCACAGAAACCTCCCCCAGCTGCAGGAAGCTCAGCATCCTCCCCTGCTTTTGGCCCCCATTGCTCCTCAGCTGTGGGGGGAGGGGTCACTGTATGTGGACCCGCTCCCCCATCCACACAACCCCCATGCATCCAGACCTCCCATACCCAGACACCCCTGCCAAGTTTCACCTGGTACATCCAGAACCCCTCTAGTCCTCCATATGCAAACCCCACCCTACTGAACCTCAACCCCTGCATCTGGAGCCCCACTTCACCCAGACCACCTGCCTCCAGACCCCCACCCCTGCACCCAGACCAACACCCCTGAGCTCCCTGCACTCAAACCTCCACCCTGATGCACCACCCCCTGCACCACCCTGAGCCCTCGCAGCCAGATCGCCACACCACTGACCTCCAACTAGCTGCACCCAGACCCCCACCCCACAAAGACCCACTCCCCCAGCACCCAGTCACCCCCCCGCACTGAGACCCCCACACCAAGACCCCTCCGCTGAGCCCCAACCACCTGCACCTGGAAGCCCCTGCAGAGTCCCATTGTCCCTGCACCTGGAACTCCACCAATGAGCCTCTGTGCATCCAAATCCACCCACACCTAAACCCCCCACACTGAGCCCCTCTACACTTGGATCCTGCCTGGTTGAGCCTGCCTGCCCCACACCTGGTGCACCTGGCACGGAGGTGCAGGGCCCCAGGGTGTTTCTGAGGCAGTACCAGGCCTTGTGCCGTGTCAGGGTCGTGTGCAGCCTCACCGCAGAGTCCGTGTCTCAGGGGTGGTGGGGGGAGGCTGCAGGGTGATCTCCCACCTTTGTGCAGCCAGTGGCCTGTGCTCCCTACTGCCATGCTGGAGCCTCTGCATTTATTTATTGACAAATAAAACTTGCAGAATTTTGCAGAATTTTAAAATATTGTACGCAAAATGTTTCATTTTTTGGCGCAGAATTTTTAAGTTTTTGGCACAGAATGCCCTCAGGAGTAGAGAAAGGAGCATCTTGTGTTTAAGGCACTGAACTAGAATTCAGGAGAGATGGCTTCACTTGGTGTCCCTTGAATAGATATGTGGACAGAGTTGGCACCGGGGTTTGTTGCAGGGATTAGTTCCTGGGTTAGTGTTTTTGTTCTCTGGTGTGTAATATGACATTATCATAGCACCTGGCCGCATCAGCCACACCATCAGGGGTTTGTTCACCTGCACATCTACCAATCTGATATATGCCAGCATGTGCCAGCAATGCCCCTCTGCCATGTACATTGGCCAAACTGGACAGTCTCTATGGAAAAGAATAAATAGACACAAATCAGACATCCAGAATTGTAACATTCAAAAACCCTTAGGAGAACACTTCAATCTCCCTGGACACGCAATAACAGACTTAAAAGTGACAATTCTTCAACAACAAAAACTTCAAAAACAGACTCCAACAAGAAACTGCAGAACTGGAATTAATTTGCAAACTGGACACCATCAAATTAGGCCTGAATAAAGACTGGGAGTGGATGGGTCATTATAAAAAGTAATTTTCCCTCTGCTGATACTCACACTTTCTTGTCGACTGTTGGAAATGAGTGACATCTACCTTGATTGCATTGGCCTCATTAGCACTACAAAAGTAACCAACTGTTGAGAATAGACCACTTCCACCTTAATGGAATTTGTCTCGTTAGCACTGACCCCCACCCCCCACCTCCCACTTGGTAAGACAGCTCCCATCTTTTCATATATATACTGCTTACTATATTTTTCACTCCATGCATCTGATGAAGTGGGTTATATCACACGAAAGCTTATGCCTAAATAAATTTGTTAGTCTCTAAGGTGCCACAAGGACTCCTCATTGTTTTTGCTGATGCAGACTAACACAGCTACCACTCTGAAACCTGGTGTAGCAGTGTTTTACTGCTGCGTAGTCCCAAGTGAACGGTTGATTTCATCCCAAATTTTGACAAGTCTTGGGATGAGAGCTTAATCCCTTTAAAGGTACACTGCAAAGCAAAACCAAAGTAATTGTCTGTGCCTTTTACTGCTGCTTTGGGGTGCATAAAGATAGCCTGCAATGAAGTGCACATATCCCGCACCTAGTCAGGCTGGGAAGTAAACAGGAAAAAAGAGAGTGAATTAAAAGCCTGCAATGGAAAAAGAGAAGCCATGCCCCACTTCCCAAAAAGCTGACAGGGTTGCCAAGTAATGGACAGATCATCAGGTTGGGGCCATTAAGACAGGGTACTATAGAGACAGAAGATTTAGAGGGGTTGACCCTTAAGGGAAAACAAATATAATAATAGATATTTATTATTAATAGTAGTAATAATAATAATTTTATTACCTTCCTTTGCCTAAGAGAGAACAGATGTGGACAAACACATGGGAGCCAAGACACAAACACAGCTATTATATTCTCCTTGCTGCCTGAGGAAGCTGTGCTGGGCTAGGTGGGAGAGATATATAAATAAGTGTTTTAGCCTTTGCTTTGG